TTTGTCTTTTTGAGACAGGGTCTCCCTGTAGCCCCAGCTGTCCTGGAACTCACTATGTAGACCAGGCTGGCCTCGAACTCACAAAGATCCACCTGCTTCTGCCTCCCAAGCGCTGGGTTTAAAGGCATGTGCCACCATGCCCAGCCAAAAACCTTGCATTTTTAAAATAAACCCTACTTAACAAGATTTTTTTCATATATTGTTGAATTTGGCTTGCTAAAATTTTGTTCAGAGTTTTTATGTGGAGGTTCATGAGGCTGACCTTTCAATTGTCCTGTCTTTTTTAATATTCTTGCCAGAATTAAACAGTAAAACTGCTGCCCATGAGCTGAAAAAGTTTACCATTTTTTTTTTTAATCTTTTTGAGACAGGTTCTCCCTGTAGCCCCAGCAGGCCTGGAACTCACTATGTAGACCAGGCTAGACTTGAACTCACAGAGATCCACCAGATCCACCTGCCTCTGCCACCCAAGTGGTGGGACTAAAGGCATGTGCCACCATGCCCGGCAGCTGACCCCTTTTTTATATTAAAACATTTTTAAATTAATTTATTTTTATTTTATGTGTATGAGTGTTCTGTCTGCATGCACGTACATGTAATGTGTGTGAAATGCCCACAGAGGCCAGAAGAGGACAATGGTTTCCCTGTAACTGGAGTTACAGCTGGTTGTTAGCTGCCATGCGGGTACTGGGAACCAAAGCCAGGTTCTTTGCAAGAGCAACCAGTGCTCATAATCTCTGAGTCATATCTTCAGCCCCAACCCCTTTTTTCTAATCTCTGTATGAATATATGGTTAATATTGATGTTATTTCCTTCCTCAGTGTTTGAGAGATTTATTAAGCATTGTAGGCCTGATATTTCCTTTGTAGATATAATTTAAATTCTGCACTATTGTTTTTTTATCCTTTTCATATGCCAGCTATATATTATGTTTTTCTAAGATTTTGACAATTTTCTCTCATTTTCTAATTTATTAGTACAAAGTGATAATTTATAATATTTTCCTATTATATGGGATTCATTTTTTAAAAATGTTTTATTTTTTTTTAATTTTTAATAACTACATGATTAGAAGAAACTTTTCATTACAACTTTAACATATTCAGTAACACACTCCAGAGCAAGAGTACATCTCTTTCACAAGTGGCTATAAGTTTCTAGGTTCACAGTTGAATTAATACAGTTATACAATATTGAACTAGGTATAAGCCCTGTAAGACATAAAATTGAATGAG